ATATGTATAACCTGCTTTCTGTTTCTTATGGGAGCAAAGGTCATCTCTCTATTCATCAGTGATATTAAGTTTCTTGAAATGTTCAAGTACCATTAAATCATGTTGCCAACTTGTTGACATAATTTAAAATCATTTAAAAATTAATGTAGGGTAGCTGTTAAATGCCTGAATTCGATGGTTCAGTGATGTCATTTTCCCTCCCTTTAGCCTCCCTCATGTCTATTCCCCTTTACTGACACTTCCAGTAGGTAACGGGGAAGAAAATTAAACAGTGAGAAACATTGTGAATTTGTTGTCTAACAGGAACCAGAACTGGATAAAAATTTTAGTGAGGAAAATAATAAAGAAACAGAATAAAATTGACTTCAAAGTGTTTTTTTCATTGAAGCAAACAAATGGTAACAAATAAGAAAAAAAAATCCATCTCCAAGGCAAATATTCAAATGTTGAATGTATTAGTAGAGCAATAGACTCCTGTAAAACATAATTTTCTTCATCTGTCATTTCCTTTTATAATAGATAGTAAAAAGAAAAATATGATAGAGATAAATTATTAACTTTTAAACAATCTGCCACTTTGGACCTAGTTTGGAAACTTTCTTAGGTGAAGTGTTTTCTGCTCACAAGCTTTCTACCAACTGGAGAAAAAGTGGAGTTGAAATATCTGGCAGGAAGAAGGATGAGATCATAGTTCATGTAGCTGAAAAATGCCCCCCAAATAGATTCTAATCCTTGCAACCTATGAATGTTCCTGATATGGAAAAATGATGTTTGCAGATGTGATTAAGATATCCAAAATGTGAGAAGATCCTGGATTATAAATATGGGCCTAACTGAAATCGCAAGCATCCATATCCATATGGAAGGCAGAGGGAGATTTGACTATAGACAGGAGAGGAGAAGGCAATGTGAACAAATGAAAGGAATTTGGAGGGATGTAGCCACAAGACAAGGAATACCAGCTGCTACCAGAAGTCAGAGGAGGCAATCAACTGACTGTTTCCTAGAGCCTTTACGGGAAATGTGGCCTTCTAACACCTTGATTTTGACCAAGTGGTACTGATTTCAGAATTCTGGTCCAGGGGTTGGAGAGAATTTCTGTTGTTTTAAGCCACCAAGTCTGTAGTAATTTGTTGCAGCAGCTATAGGAGAATAATGTAATATCATTGTCTCCTTCTATAGTGGTAGGGCTAATCCTAGGATACTTCATGTCAAGGCCTCATTGACAAATAAAATTAATTTATCTGGTTGGGAAATTCAGTGTAGAAGTATTTTTTTTTTTTGCCTTGAGATTTACAATGTTGCTGACTTTTCCTGGATTTGTGGCTTCTGTTTCTTTTTCTGCATTTTATTAATTAACTGAATTTTGGCGGCACATGTGTTTGTAAAATAGCATTATAATAGGAATAACTGAGTTGGGAGTATTTCATAATGATTCGCTTGATTTCAAGACACTTCTAAAAATTATTTGAAATAAAAACAAATAAAACAATTTGAATATATAATTGGGGTTTTATAATAGTTTCCGTCCAAGAATAATGAATGTAAGTCATTAATTGAAAGTTAATTGGTAACATTGGCAAAGTTTATCTTATATTTTGGGGATTGCATGCTTCAGTTGATACCTCGAGTACAACTGGGATTTATTCGCACCACACCTCTGGGTCTGGTTGTGTATTAAGTTACGAAGAATATTAATATTGCTGCAGAACAATTACTTGTTCATTTGCGAACTGATTAAAATTCATGCATAATTTATTGAAATGAATAGAGATTTTATAAATAAGTCCCTTTGTTCTCAGGGGCCTGAAAACAAAATACATGTGCTAATATAAAGCTACTTTTTACCTCTATCATAAAAATTTAATATGTAGTTGTATATTAGCCTCATTAATGCCAGATCTTACATCTTAAAATCATGCTCTTAATCAATATGTATGCATTTAAGCCGCTGTTAACATTGCCACATTTCCAAATTTGAGCTATTGCTTAGATGGATTGCTGGACTGCCCCCATTTCTGGCCTGACTATGGCAAGTGAGATGTAAAACTGGTCAGAGTGAAGTGCTGCCCTTCTGACCAAGAGACTGATGACATCAAACTCATTTCTTCAGATAAAAACAACACTAGTGTTGAATATTAATTTTCAATGTTAAAACGTATATGCTATATGGCAAAACAGAACAAAGCAACCTAACATCACATAGGGCTTGTTGTTGTATTTAAGGGTAGAGTCTTTAAAAATTCTTCAAATAATGCCTAGGGCACAAGTGAAGAAATTATAATATGAAGAAGTTAGATAACATATTTAAGATTACACAGCTATTAATGTGTATGCATTTTTTTCACACTAGGTTTCTGAACCACAAATATTTGTTTTCTTTTATATGTCACCTCCTTAAAGATAGAAATGTTATGCTTTACTTTTTCACTAGTTTCTCTTTCTTTCACTTGTTTATGTATAACTATTTTTTCTTTCCTTCCTCTGCCATCTTCTCTGCTCACCTCTTAGGTTTTCTCTTCATTTTTCATAGCAAGAGTGTGCAGAGTTTTGATTGGTGAGATTTAACATTTGATATACACGCATAATGTCAGGTTTCAGAATATCTATAAATTTGTTATTAACCAAGGTTTGCTGTTTATAATTCACTTGGCATATTGTTCCTGTTAATTTATCATGTTAAGTATCAGACCTCTTAGTTCATTGTTGAGTAAAAGAGTAGAGCATTTATACGCTGGGGTAGTACGCCAGTGAGCTGTGAATTTAGCATTGTTTCCTACTTAAATTAGTTAGTATATGAGCCATCTGGAATGAAAACAAACATTGCACGTATGAGGCAACTCGGTTTATTCACAAAATACATACTGCTTCTTAAAATATGTGCAGCATTTAGGTAGTCTTGGAAGACATTTACATTTTATCTGTTATGTTCATTTCTTGATTCAGTTTCATTTTAGTTTAGGGTTTGAGAATATACCAACTTTCTGTCTACTAAATCTTTTAAAAACTCTGAGTATAAAAGTTGTTAGAATAGTTGGTAAAATTTCATGGTATGAAATGTCTATGTCTGTAGCTGATAAATGAAAATTTTAAACTGTGTTTATTTGATTCAAACTTTTTTCTTTTGTACATAACTTCTCCATTGAATTCAGTTGTGAAATTGGAAAGAGTTCACATGCTATGCAATTTTTAACTGCATACTGTTGAAACAATTTGCAAACTATCAGGAATGGATTTTGTAGTTGAAGTTTATAAATCATGTGTTAAAAACCACTTTCCTATAGAAATTATAAATGTTTACACTTTATATGGCATATGTTATCATCTTTGATATTAGTTTTGTTTTTGTTTTAAACATGAGCACAGTGAATCTCAAGGTCATGTGGTTGTACCAGTAATTAGTTTAAAAGTTATTGCCGTAGTAAGCCATGAATACTTGTAGGGAGTAACTACGTCCTTCAAGTGATTTTGGACTGAAAAAAAAAATATTACATTCATCATTATCACAGTCTTCATTTCCTATGTAAATCTCAGTTTAAAATAATGTATTCATCTCTTTCTTTTTACTGTGTCTCCCCTGCAGTGTTATATGGATACCTAATATGTAGGACAATTAATATTTATCATAAGCATTTTGAAATAATCTTCTTGAAAATTACTTTAGCCTTTGTAGCTATCTAGACCAGGTAATCTTATCCCTAATTTTAAGGTCATTTGTAATTCAGAGGCTTTTAAGCTAGAAACTACACTTTTCTCCAATCAGGGTTTAAAAGAAAATTGTGGTCTGCACATGGACATTATTGTTTCATTTAAACCTTCATAAGAAGGTAAAACCTGTCTGCAGGCCTTGTTTGCATTGCATTTTTTTTTAATCATACAGTGCATTGCCATTGAAATAGAAAATCCAATTAGAAAGGTATTGGTTATGTGCTCATGAATTCCCTCTATTTGTACCTTCTCCAGTCCATCCCATACCTGGAGTGGGTTGGGGTGAGGGAGTATTTTGTGGTTGTATTTAGTAGTTGTTCTTTATGTGATTTGCTCCAACTCTATAACAAAAACTTTTAAATCAATTTTTGAGCAATTACTGTTTTATTAAGATTAACAATTTCTACAGGTCTTTTCACTTTTCCGAGAAGAGTGAGAAGTATTTCAGGAATTAGAGGAACTCGATGACTTAATTGTGGACAGACCATATGAACAGAGCAATAGCTGCTGAGTCCTTCATAAAGTCCAATGTCTCATTTCAGTGACATTGTTCTCATGAAAGAAAAAAAGTGCCTTAATATATCATTCATCATTTCTGTAAATTCAAACATTGAAAAAATGTTTTCCAAAGTTTCTTTCAAGCAAAATATTTTAAGCTATCCAAAATTAAATTGCAGTGTGCCTTTGACATTTGAGTTTAAAGTTGGTGCATTGCCTTATCTTATGCTGCTCCCAAAGGCCAGTGATATGTAGTGATTTCTGATTGTGCCTAGGTGTAATTTTAAATTTGTCACACTGTGAGGTAGGTTTGTAGAAACAAGATAGCACCTGGCATCAGTTTCTGAGTTCAGCTATGCTGTTCTTTCTTCTTTTACTCATCTGTAGAAACTGTGAAGAAGTAAAAAGGAAAGCAAAAAGAAAAATACCACTTGGTCATAGTTCATGAATGAAATAAATTGTCAAAGATCAACTCTACTCTCTTAGTAGCTAAATAGAGCTATCCATTTCTAAATGTTTTCTTTTTATTTCCTACGTATACTATGCCTTTACAAGTTTATCTCCTGAAAATACGTTTTCAATAACGGAAAAGTTATGTTAAAATGGTCATATGCACCTGCAAAATTATATATTCTTTAAAAGTGCAGTTGCCAGATCATGCATGTTCTAGTTTTAAGTATTTATTATGCATTTCTAATAAATGATCCATTAAGCATTTAGGCCTTATGTGACATTAGTACATCTCTGTATTGTTTTAAATCTTACTAATTGGAGTGCACACTCATCTCTCCTAGAACCACCAAGACCCATTGCTCCTCCTCAGCTGCTTGGTGTTGGGCCTACATATTTGCTGATCCAGCTAAATGCCAACTCCATCATTGGTGATGGTCCTATCATCCTAAAAGAGGTAGAGTACCGAATGACATCAGGATCCTGGACAGAAACCCACGCAGTCAATGCTCCAACTTACAAATTATGGCATTTAGATCCAGATACCGAATATGAGATCCGAGTTCTACTTACGAGACCTGGTGAAGGTGGAACGGGGCTCCCAGGACCCCCACTAATCACCAGAACAAAGTGTGCAGGTAAGACTGAGTAGTAGGCCATTCTACCTTGTGAAGGAATCTAGCATAAGACATACAAGTGATGCAGTATTAAGGTTTCTCATTTGATATATGATATAGTCACACTATTCTAAGAGTTGTAATGAATTAGGTAAATCATCATCTTGCTTATGTCATTATTTGACTGATTTGAGAGCATGGGAATGCTTCTCTATTTTCAATCCATTATTGTTATTAATCTAGAGTCTTCTTTTGGCATGGCAATTTTGGTAAGCCTGATACATATTCAATCCAAAAATCTCTGATAGCTGTAACTTAAAGTATTATTAAGACAAAAGATCATTTTAGTTCAAGCAAATACTGAAAACTTTTTACCATGTGAAAATTCTCTACCTCAATAATTTTGTTACAGTCAATGTAAAGGCCATATCTTATAATACGGATAAGAAAATTTACTTTGGGCAATGCTGTGGTGAGATAACTATTTTCTTCAGAATGTCTTGTTGTTGAGGTATATCTCAGCATTTTGACAGTCAGCTGCAGAACACGGAGATATTACCTTTACATTCTAAGCCTTGCTGTTGCCTTCCTCATGACTAAAACTGGGTGGTGAAAATAATAACATATGGAGAAAACACAAAAAATAAAAATTAAAAAAAGTGTATGTTACCATATATCCTGGTTCTTTACCATGTTATAATGGGAGGAATTGTTAGCTGTTAATTAAAAGCCAGTATAAAGTTTAAATATCTAAGTTACTAGAGTACATTTTTAGTGGAGTTTTTATTTTGTTGTTTGTTTCTTGAGCATGTATTTATCATTGACAGCATTCTTGGGCTACCCACCAGGAGTACTGAGCTATAACCCAAGCAAAGCCCATTTAGTTACTTAAATGTTTTTAATCCAGCATAATACCTATGTATCAGAGGCTCCTGTTGAAAGACGTTCACTAATAGGAAGTTTAACTTCTCAACTATTAGTCTGAGATTTAGAAGATAGAGAGTTCAATAGTTTGCTGATTGCTGTATACATTTATTTGGTGGTTGAAAGGAGCTTAAGTTAGAAGATGCTGGGCAGATCTCCATGGTTCAGCCTAAATATCACAATTTGCTTTTCAAATATTCTGTATGGCTACATCAGTTCATTCCAGGTCATATGACAAATTGTTTTTATGATAGAAGATAAAGTTTCTGAGGGAGAGGCAAGTTGACGCTATAACCTCAACTAGTCAGAGAAATCATTTAAAGAGGAAGCAATTTGGAAACTAAAAACTAGTTCACTCTCTGTTCCAAAATTAATATCGCATGCTATTGTGAAAGGTTGAACTATGAAGTCCATTTTACTAAGAATATTATGTACATATGTTTTCTAATAAAATTACATTTTTCTATATATACATTTATAACTTATATATAAATCATAACAATGTTGACAATTTGGTATTCCAGTGGTTTCCCTCTTGACTTCTTTTGCCCAAAGTACTTTCTTTTAAATATTTCACCTGCTTTATTTTTTATTTTCATCAAAATAGGTCTTTAAAAAATTAGCAGTATCACATAGTGTATTGTTAGTATGATGTAATTTTTGTTTAACTTAGGAATTATTTGAAATTGATTCCTGATGTGAAAACCATGGAGGGTGCATGTAAATAATATTGTGTTTTAAAGCCAGTTATACCATGTTAAGTGCATAAAAACATGTTCATGAATATTGATTTAACCCTATGCTTATGTTCTGAGTGAACCATTTAAGCAAAAGTATGACTATAAAGTGCTTTGAAGTATTTTATTCTGAAAATAACCTTATCTATGTGAGAGGGAATAGAGTAAAATTAATTTACACTCATAGCTGCTTTCTTGTCTTGTTTTTTTGCCCAGGCTGGAGTGCAGTAGCATGACCTTGGCTCACTGCAACCTCTGGCTCCAGGGTTCAAGCAAGTCTCCTGCCTCAGCTTCCCTAGTAGCTGGGATTACAAGCATGCACTACCATGCCCAGCTAATTTTTGTATTTTTGTAGAAATGGGCTTTCACCATGTTGGCCAGGTGGTCTTGAACCCCTAACCTCAAGTGATTTGCCCACCTCGGCCTACGAAAGTGCTGAAATTACAGCCATGAGTTGCCTTGCCCAGCCCATAGCTGCTTTCTAAGTTATAAATGCCTTGGTATTTTGGAATTATACTAGTCTTTTTATCTGATTCTTTTTTTGAGAAACATTTAATTTGTGTATTCTTTGTGGCATAAATTGCTGTCAAGCTCTATTACTTGTAGTTTTACTCCCAACTGTATTGTTTGTTTGTTTTTAAAACTATCTTTCACACGTAATGAGTCTTTATCACACATGTTTATTATAGTTAATTAATGTCCTCATAAGGTATATCGGCAAGATTTTGGGGTAGAGAAGTACTTATAGACTAGATTTTCAAGTAGACTGTAAATCTGAGAGAAACCATGGTTACCATTTCATCAGGAATGTCTACTAATCTTGCTCTATTATTAGAAAAGAAAGAGAAGCTTATAGAAGTATATATTATATTAATTTTTAAGCAGTCTCTAAAAAAGAGAAATTGAATATAATTGATATATATTGTGTAATTAAATACAGAGTCAGTGTTGGTTCGAATTATGTTTGTCCATCTCCTTTCTTTCTTTAAGATCTATTTCCCTTTCCCCAAATCTCAGGTCCCTCAGACTTGAAATTACCAGTACCACTACTGGCCTCAACCCAGAAGCTCATATGAACAAAATAGAACACAGTTTCTGTTAACTGTGATATTAACTGAGATTTAGTACAGATTTCAAAACCTTTAAGTGCTTCGTAATCTTGGGAAATACCTTTGAGACTCCAAACATAACCTTCGGAGGAAGTTATCATCTAATTCTGTTAAATGCTGCATGGCCAAATACTGGTTCTATAAGAGAAACTGAATACTAGATTTCTAATCATTCTTTTAAAATTAATTCTATGTTATAAGTATAGAGTTTGCCATAAATATCGTCGGATTGAATAAATGCTGATTATTTTGAAGTAAACATTTTAGTACTCCTGCGTGTTAGACTAGGTGGCTTTAAAAATAAGTATAAATACTTCTTAGCTATATATGTGTTTGAGATATCAATTTCACGTGGATTTCTTGAAAGTAACAAAGGAATAATAATTATCTTCTGCTTTTCAGAAATTCTCATTTTATTTTGGTATATTATAGAGGAACGATTATTTTTTGCTAAGTACCAATCAAAAAGTAAATTAGTTACTGTTTACTGTTTTTAAAATTCCATTTTAAGGTATTTGAGGCATTGACCTTCTATTTCTGGTATTAGTAAATATTTGATGGAAATCTGTCAATAAATAATCTTCCAGCAAGTCAATACAAAGATTTTCCTTATTTATATTCATAAATAAATTTTACATTTTCAAATGAAAATGTGGATTTTTTTGTGGCCAAGTATTGATTAATGCTACTTTAGAATCAATGTATGAAGTAAATCTGTCATATTTTATTTTCACACCAATTGTGTAAGTTAGATATATTATTTTCTCACTTTTTAGTTGGTGAATTTAAGACTCAGGAAACCAAAAGGCAACAGTGACTTGTCCTATATCAGACAGATGGGCCTCAACTCCTTTTCTCAGACTTTAATGGCCTTAATACTATTTCCTCTTATTCATGTCATAGGTGCTTCCCCCCACCCCCCTTATAATAGTATGCTATGAGTAAATTAAAACACAAATAAAATCTGGAAGAGATGTACATTTTAAAAATAGAGTCTTCATGGCTAACTTATTCTCTGAGAAAACGTAGGTTAATATTTGCAACATCACATTTATTGAAATCCCAATTGATTGGTGCTTAACTCTCAGATATATGCTGTGTTTTAAATACTTTAAACAGTTAAAGTATAGGAGTATTTTATTTTATCCTTTCTGAAAATATGCTCTCTGGTTGACAAAGCTATTTTTTGTTTTCCTTCCAAAGTGCACTATAATCATTTGGTAACAGCAATAACTTGCTTCAGGGTCTCTGAGTTAGGAGAGGTGGTAATTACAGCCTCTGGTGGCTGAAGCCACTGAGGCCTACCTCATGCTTCTTTAGGAACCTGAGGGATATGATTATTTCACTGTTACTTTATACCCTGACCCATGTTATTGTTCACGTAATGTTTCTTCAGGCACTTCATAAATTTTTAAAAAGGTATAAATGTGAAGATGTCTTAAAAGGGAACTAATTCAAAAACTCCAATGAACAATCAGAGAAAGTATGCTTGCTTTTGTTCTGTGTGTCTATTTCCTCTGGGTATACCATCTGGTATAGAAGCTAGGAAAACACAGTTTCTCTTTCTCTTATTAAATGGAAATAAAATATGCCATCATCAGAAATTGTCTGTGTTGCATGCTTTGGCAATTGCATGTTAAAATTGCTCTTTTAAATTGCCTTCTGCTTCTGGGTAACCGATTGTGGAACTGCTTTATGATTAACTGACATTTTAGCAGCATCTCTCTCATAGGGAAGGTCAATAGTTCAGAGTGTCCAGAACATAATATATTTACACAGTTGGGAAAACTACTCTCTACTCTTATATTGAAGTTCAGTGCTGTTGGCAATTTTCAGTGAAACATTTAGATCTATGAAGCAGTGAAAAGGAGAGTGTTTTATTTTAAATGTAAGCATTTATTAAAAATGCATTTTTTTCTTGTCCTAAATCCAAAATGGAAGGGAAAACAAAACAAAATAATACTCAGGCATATGCCAGAAACCACAAAGTGAGAAGTTAAACTTTAGCCTTTAGTCTATAGCATCACCAACAAAGTGGTACCATACATTGATTTTAACTGTGATTTAATAGTTATCAATCACAAAGACTAGTAACCATTAACACTGAGCCTAGAGGTTAAAACAAAATAAACAACTCTTCTAAGAATTGGTTCAGTTTCACAATATAAGGGTGGCTTACTATTTGATTGAAACTGTCAGCTTATATCAATGCTTGTTTTAAAATATTTTGAAATGTGTGAACTTACATATG